GAGTCTAGTTTATGTGGTATTTACAAGCATACGGATTTTGCTGTACTGCTATTAATTCAACGGTGCCTGTGCGATCCAGACATACTGCAAAGGAAGCAGGCACAAAATAAGTGACGCTCTGGTTCATTTCTTCACTTCCAGGATAATAAAAAGATAGTAAGCTAGAACTGGGTGAAACAAAAGCTCTGAAGCCCTTAGTAGAATTACTACATGTTCAGACGGTTGCACAAGGCTATCATTTGGAGGGTGTAGTTTAAAAAGGCACCACTTTTGCCACACATCTGCTGCGGTGAAAGAGTCAAACCTCAGCATTGGCCGCGGCGGTGGCGGCGGCTCGTCCAGCTCCTCGTAGCGCTTGGCCTTGCGCGTCACTTGCTTGTAAATGTTCCTTGCAGTCACGCCCACCCAGAGAGTGGTAGCGAGAGTGGAGTAGTGCAGCAAAATGCCCACCTAGGAGAGAATGGACCATTACAGTAGCAGCAAAATCAGTGAGTGTCAGTATGACAAAATGTGCCTCTTCAGCTCTATTCTTTAATCGATAAAAGTAAGAGAACGGAGCACACTGTAGATATTTTTGTTTCGTGCATCTTCTGCTTAAGACATCATCATCACATTGAGTTGGATGTTAACATTAGAAAATATCGTTTTACATCAAAGCACATTCAATAAATCAACAAGGTCTTGCATCCAGATTGGTGCAATTTAAAAACAGAAAAGTAAAAGAAAGAAGAAAAAGTAGTGCGTCCCACTTCAGCACACCTTGAGGAGAGGTGCAGGGTTGCCTCAAGCCATGAAACAAGCTACAGTATCTTTCTATGCCACCCCACCTTCTGAGTTTCACAAGTGCAGTGATTTTAGCCAAAGGCAACTTTTTCAACTTCTTATTCCTAGAAAACATTCAAAGTAGAAGCAAACGAGGCGGGGAGGGTGGGAGAGGCTCGGAGTGTGCGGGCGCTGTATACTCACTGCTTGACAGACGCTTGAGAATCGCGTCTGATTGATGCCACCTATAAAAACCCCACAGGTGAGGGACATGTGGAAGCAGAGGTTGATCAACATGTGCCAAAACTTCCGGCTCACTCGGACAGACCTGCAGTCGCAGAAACAACAGATTGCAGAGCTATGAATGAGAAAAGGGGGCTTATGGGAAAGACGTTCAATACCACTGGTTTATTCTCTTACCTGTGATGGTAGATATAGCTTATAATAATGGTGGCCAGGCACAGGAGGAGTATGACAGTGGTGGCGTAGATAACCGGGTGCAGTGGCTTAATGCTTGGCGAGGAATATTCCATAGCGCTGAGATCCTGAAACAAGAATGAGATCATAAAGAGATATATTAGAGGGCCAGTGAGGTCATACTGTGCATCCTCACGGGTGCTGATCGCCTCACAAACTCCCAAGTGAACATAAAGAGGCAGCCCAACCTACCATAAGCAGGCCATAGTTGCCCAGAGAGTTGCATGATATGGTTGTGAAATTGTCGTGATGGTCTAATATGCGGCAGCCGTCGCTCTGCCATCCTCCCTGACCTCCCGCCTGGCTCAAGTTCCAGCAGGCGGACACAGCATCTGAGCCGCGGGCAAACAGGCGCAGGGTGACATTAACGGGGGTCTTCAGGACGCGTGGAGTCATGCCATCTGATGCCAAGTACACAGTGGGGTAAA